ATAAATAATAAAATATTTCTACGTATAAAAAGTAAACACAACACAATAAAAGAATTAAAAAGATTAATCTACAATTAAAATTAAATAAATCAAAGCCAGAAGACAAAAGGAAGTACAAATGGAGTTTGGGTTTTCAACGCAGCGGATAACTCGGTGGGTCAAACCAGGCAAGCAGCAACGGCAAGTGGCAGTACTGGCGGCAACGCAACATCAATGGCAAGGCAAAATCAATGGCAATGATGAAGTTCTAGAGATGGAGATTCTACCATTGTCGGAGAAAAAGAACAACTAATTTTAAAATTTTTAATTATCATCCATAATCTCAGAATAATTTAGTTTTTAAAATCGTTTAAGACTACACGATCTCACGATTTTGTGCGCGATATTCGATCAATTTTTCAAGACCCACGATTTTTGTCCGACTTAGATCATTGAAGCCACTTTACATTGTAAAATCGTGCGATCTTATGATTAAGATCGCGATTTTAACAACCATGCACCACCATTGTAGTTAAATTAAATGACCAAAACTCCTTTACAAAAAATAATAATATCTAAAAATTTAAGGTTCAAGTCTTAACAATTTTTATTTTCAATTCTCAATTGTACTAGTTCAAAAATATCCATCTTTGCAACACTTCTTAAACATTAGGATAAATTTTAGATCCAGCAACTTTTTTTGTTTTTTTACTTAAGTATTATATAAGGTTTCAAATTTTTCATTGAATTTGCAAATGAGATCTTAAAGTTTTATTATGTTCAAATGAAGTCCTTAAGTCATTGAAATTTTTAAATAAAATCCTAATTGGATGGAAATTGTAAGGTTTGTTAAATTAGTTATTGACGCAATTAACTCTAATTAGTTAAATATCCAAAATGATCCATAACTTTTTTTATTTTATCTTTCAATAACAAAAAAAGTCTAAAACTTTCAATAATCTCAATATATATATATATATATATATATATATTACAATTGCAACTTTATTTAAGAATTTTTTATGAATTTGGGACTTTATTTGAATGTAATAAAACTTTAAAATCTCAATTACAAATTTAATGAAAGTTTAGGACCTTATTTAATACTCAAGCTCATTTTTTTTTTCATTTTTTTTGGAAAAGAGAAAATAGAAAAAATACCTTGTCGCCCAGTTAGCGCATTGCCTAAGCATGCTAGGCACCAGGTAATGGCTCAATGCCTACCATCGTCTGGCACATTTTGCAACATTGTGGGGATTTAGTGGCACAAATTCTTTTGTAACTTACTTGTAGTGAGTCACTTTAAAATATTATTCAAAATTTCTGACAATTTGAAAATTTTATGAGAAAGCAATTGCCTTCTAAACGAACCCACTTGAAAGCTCTGCGAAACCGAAACATGTCCTTAACCTTGTAACTCAAAGTTAGAGTTGCATGATCAAATGCCCTCCGCTCCTCCCTCCCCCATAATGAAAAAGAAAAAAACAATCTCAAGTGATTTGCATAGGAAGAAGGTTCTTTTTCTTTCTGTCTTCCTTTTTTTTTTTGGTCAAACCCTTTATTTACATTTTATATATTATTTTTTTTACAATTAACACTTTTAATCATTTTTCTTCCAAGTTAACACCTTCCACTTTTCAAAATCCACTAAAAACCCAAATTTTCACGGCAAAAGCACGTGACCGTTGTGCCTCGTTACTTGTTAGTTGACATGGTGCTATTTTAATAACATGGCAATTGTTATGCTGGTATGGCTTTTCTTAAGGACATAGTTGGTGGGTTCCGCTTAAAACTTAATAAAAACTATTATTTAAAACTTTAGTCAACCAACTGAGGAATAAATTCTCTCACCAACTAAATCATAATTTCTTTGGTTAATAAGTGATGATTATGGTAATTATAGAATTATATTAGTATTATGTTTAGTAAGAAGACCAAGAAATAGAATGACTCTCACGTAACTTTTTTGCAGAATTTTGGAACCTGACATGGGCTTAATCTATTTAATTAAGCTTTGCCTATTCAGCTTGTCAATTACACTAGAATTTTATGATGGGAATTAGTATTATATAACTATATGATAAAAATGGGAAAGAAAAACAGATTCTTTGAAAGATGAAACATATATTATACTTTAGTACTTTTCTTCCCCAGACATGGCACCTCTGTTTTGTTTCTCCCAGTTATCTTTCTACTTCTTCTTCTTCTTCTTCTTCTTCTTCTATTTTTCATTTTCCTTTTTTTCTTTCCTTTTTCATCTTCTTCCTTTCTAATTCTTCTAAGGAATTTCACATCTCTAGCTGGATACTTACTTTTCTTTCATCCTTCCTACCTTTCTCATTTTCTTTAGTTGGCTGCAGTCCTTCCTTCATATTCTTTTGTTCTTTCATCCATCTCAAGGTTTTGTTCCGTGTTTTCTTTCATTAATCATCCAAATTACTGTAATAATATACATGATTATCTACTAATAAATATTTATAATTTTTCTTTTCTGCAGATTTGTAGATTATATATTAAGCTTGCCAAAAAAAACGTGAGGTAAATTCTCATTTTATGTGATTAATGTTTTAATTAATATTATTTCCTTTTACTTTAGTGAAATCATAATGTATAATAATTTTTTTTTACAGAGTTAGCTTCTTTTTCTGTGAGGTAAATTACTTGAAATTTAACTTCTTTTTTTTATTACTTCTCATATTATTTAATTTGAATAATATTTTAGTCTTTTTTTATTATTCTCAAATTTATTATTTTAACTATACATATTGTTGTGGGATATATGATTTTATCTCTGAATTTTGTTTTTACAATTTTAATGACAACATAGTGATAGCAAAAGTATAAACACCAATGTAGGATTTGGGATGTTATAGTTAACCCGATTCTTTTTGTTAACCAGATTGAGAGCACCTTTACATATGTTGGCATCAGTTTTTCTATCATCACGTATGCCATGCTGCTTCTTGTTTTTTTATTTTTGGTAATTTGAAATTCTTCTGCAAAAAGAAAATAGTGCTGAAGTTAATTATTTTTATGCAAGGTGAAATATTTCATAGGCTAACATGGAAACAGCTACTCTGCCTCCGAACATGATTGTACCAGAAGTTCTTGAAAAACATAATTATGAAAGGTGGAGCATTTTAATAAAACACTACTTAGTGGCTCAAGATGTTTGGGATGTTGTTGATCGAAGCCTGACGACTGAACAAAGAAATGAGAGGGTGTGGATTAAAAAGAATGCTCTAGCTCTACATGCCATTAAGATTTCATGTGGAGCAAAGGCGTTTGATCTAATAAAGAACATAGAGTCAGCCAGAGATGCTTGGAAGGCATTACGCGATATGCCGAAAGTCCAAATCTATTATGACATCCCCAGGCGCCACGAATTTGTCCCTCCGGACATGGGCACGCCTGAGGAAATAGGTTTTATTTCATCTCTCTCTCTCTCTCTCTCTCTCTTTTGCCAAAATTCATCTATCTGTTTGAGTTCGCTATTATTTCAGCATTTGTTATTATAGAGAGAGAGACTGCTGAACAGTTAACTTTTTTGAGGCCCTGGCTTAGATCTAGCTAATGTTTTGTGTTTATTAATTTTCGGAGCTTAGATTGGTTTTTCTGATTTTAAATCTTGCAGCAGTCTTGGGCTTAATTAGTTATGATGTTGATTCAAGTCGTGTGTGAAGAAAAGTTAAACACAGTGATAGAAAAAGAATACTGAATTATATTCCAGTTTCATGATATTCTGTACAATGACATATGTATATATAATATTTACATGACATGTTTCCATGCCTAGAATTATGCAGAAGATTGTTGTTTTGACTGTTGCTCAATTTCTGCATTATGACCGTTAGGGAGTTATGACAGATAATTTCTTTCCTTTATGACAGATAATTTCTTTCCTTTATGACAGATAATTTCCTTCCTCTTTTGCTGCTGTTTCCTTGTTCAATTCAGATCTTGATTGCTCATATTTGCTGTTATTTGTTTCCTTATTTGGCTCTTGTATTGATTGCTTCTTCATACTCCCCCTCAAACTGGAGGTGGGTGATCCAACCAACCCCAGTTTGAACTTCAACACTTGGAACTGTGCATGTGGAAGTGGTTTTGTAAGTGGATCAGCAACTTGGTCCCTACTAGGAATGTATCGAGTGACCAAAGTACCAAGGGCTACTTTTTCCCGAACAAAGTGGTAGTCTAGCTCTATGTGTTTCGTGCGGGCATGAAACACAGGATTGATAGACATATGTAAGGCACTAATGTTATCAGAAAAAATTTGAGGAGGATTAGGAAGAGACATTCCAATATCACGAAGGAGATAGGTGATCCATGTGACCTCAGCTGTGGTAGAAGCGAAAGCTCGATATTCTGCTTCAGCTGTAGACCGAGCGACAGTAGGTTGTTTCTTTGAGGACCATGAAATACAATTTGCCCCAAGAAATACACAATAGCCTGTGGTACTTCTTCTAGTGCTTAGACAACCAGCCCAATCTGCATCACAAAAACCTGTTAATGACAATGTGCTATGAGAAGAGAATCGTAGGCCATGATGCATAGTCCCCTTGATGTATCGTAAAATGCGTTTAACTTGACGAAGATGAGTGAGAGTTGGTTGCTGCATGAATTGACAAACTTTATTAACAGCATGACAAATATCAAGTCTGGTTATTGTTAAATATTGAAGTGCTCCAACCAGTTTTCTATATTCCTGGGCATTCACGAGCTCATTATCCCTCAAACTAGTTGCATCTTTAATAGCCATAGGGGTAGCAATAGCAGAGGCTTCAAGCATGGAGGCTCGGCAGAGGATGTCTTTGGCATATTTGGCTTGTGACAAGAAAATGCCTCCTGGAAACTTATTTACTTCAATGCCCAAAAAATAATTAAGAGATCCCAAATCCTTGAGTGCAAACTTGCTGCTCAAATTGCTAATAATTTCTTGAAGTAGTTGCAACGAATTGGCTATGAGAACAATGTCATTTACATATAGCAAAAGCAATGCAATGTCTTGATCTCTATGAAGAATAAACAAAGAAGAATATGCTCTACTACAATAGAACCCAATTTGGAAGAGTTGAATGGTAAATGTATCAAACCATGCCCTTGGAGCCTGCTTTAGACTATAGATCGATTTGTTGAGTTTGCAAACATAATTGGGGTGAATAGGATCTTCAAAGCCAGGTGGTTGACTAATGTACACTTCCTCCTTGAGTTTGCCGTGAAGGAATGCGTTCTTTACATCCAACTGTCTAAGTGGCCATGATAGAGTAGTAGCAAGAGCAATAACCAATCGTAAAGTTGTTGGTTTTAGAACTGGACTAAAGGTCTCATCGAAGTCTAACCCAGGCACTTGAGAGTATCCTCGTGCTACCAGCCTTGCTTTAAACCTGTCGATACTTCCATCAGAATGTAGTTTTGTCTTGAACACCCATTTTGAGCCGACAATGTTTGTTTGAGGTGAAGGTGAAGGAACCAATGTCCATGTATTATTGTTGTGCAGTGCTTCTAGCTCTTCTTTCATCGCATCGACCCAATGTGGAAGTTTAAGTGCTTGCTTGACAGTTTTAGGTTCTTGAACATTCAAACCTGCACTATTTAACACAGAGTTATTAGTAGTCATATTATGAACAGATTTTTGAAACACAGTTTGAACATGTCCA